GTAGGCAAGGGAAACCAAGATTCAAAAGACAGCCAAGCATCTTAACATTATTCTCTCTTTTACCCCGTCACACCATGCCTCAATCCCTGTATCCCGGATCCCTGTTGTTTCAAGGAACTTAAGTATTTCTTGATTAAGTGTATCTATTTTATTAATAAAAATATCTTTTTGTCCTAAAATGCTACTGCATTACTTAGAAAATCAAAATGATTTATTTTCCACTATAATTTTAAATGTTTAAAATTTTGTGAATTTGTTATATATTCAAACATAAATTACCAAAAGCAACGTGAATAATTTCAATGACAGATACATATATATTATTATGTAGATAAGGGTTGTAAAGAAACTCAGAGAAATTAAAAGAGTTGATATGTTGATGCATTAGTAGATTTTTTTAATCTTAAAATTTTCTCTTAGTTTTCATATGTATATGCTGAAATTAGCAGTTACAGCAGTTTTCATATGGGTGTCACAGAGCTAAATAGTTTTTAAATGACCTCAGTCTATGAATTCAGATTATATAGCTTAACTTCTAACATGTAATGAAAATTTGAATCTAAAACTATATTAGTATTTCTTGTGTTTATTTTACTAGAACTGCTAATACATGTTCTGTTTCATTTGTCTCATGGCCTACACAGGTAAGTGATTTTATAACCAAGAAAGCTCATTTTCAAGAACACTGCACAATATTTAGCTGCCTGTTTTTGCCCCTAGGTTTCCTTTACCAAGTCACCCTGCTGCACCTCCCGAACATCTTAAGGAACCACTGGTGTACATGAGGAAAGCACAGGTTAGCTACTGCTCATTTTTATCCCATTTTCCTGTGCCAACTTATATAATGCTGTGTGAAAAATTCTTATTAATGTGTGTTCACTTTGATTAATTGTATGAAAGAGTGGGTGAGAAGCACACTAAAGTTACGGGAACAGTATTTGCATACTTTTCCTTTCGATTTTCTGTTATCAAATATAGTAATTACTTAACTATAATACTCCTGAAATACAGTAAGCAGGAAACAAAAATCATGTACCATATTGACGTCCTCTTCCCTTACAGTTGTGTCAAAGCGAGTGTATCTGATATTGCATTTGAAATAGATTAAAAATATGGTTTTCGATCTATTTTGCATAATATGAAAGTATTATGCAAAAATTTGTTCCTTGTGCCCTGTGCCATTAAAGAAGTAAATTGGGAATGAAGTGACATCACCTTTCCTTAAAATGTTGGCATTTGAAGCTAGTGTTACTGATAGTGTATTTGAAATTGATTTTTTCTGTAGGCAGCGGGTACATATTAATTGCGTAAAGAACTCAGATGAGCTTGTTCTCTAAAATAGTCTGGCAACAACCAAAATTCATTTAAAAACAATTCAACTAACTATTTTAAAGTGAAAGAAATGTTCAAGGTACTAAAATAGACATTTAAAAGCCCTATCACATATTCCTGACTCCATTTTAACTGTGTCCTTTGCCTCTCAGCACAGCATCGTCCATCTGCCTTGGGGATTTACTGTCCGTTAGTAAACCTCCCGGCAGAGTTGGGCAGGACTCCGAACCCTCCACTCCTAAATAGTTTAATGGGCACCAGTTTGTTTTATACCCTTGGAAGTGAAATTAAAAACCTTTTCAAAGAAAAATTGCTAATAAATCCAAAAGAACTCCCATGAGCTGTTTTGCTGCTTTTGAGAACTGTTCTCCTGCTTTGAATTCCCAAGTTCTCAGCAGTGGGCACTAGGCAGATTTTCATTTTTAACTTTCAGTTTCAGGAAACATACCTCTCAAAGTTAGATGGTGAAAGAATGCAGGATAAGCAAAATATGGTGACATTTGGAAATTTCTAAGCGACCGAACAGTTTTTTTCTGTTGCCCATTGGGTCACTGTGAGTCAGAAGAGACTCCTTTGGCACCTTACATCAGTAGAGCATCAGTTTTAGCATATGGCTATTATATAAGGGAGCCCTGGTATGGGGCTGTAGGAGAAGTACTAAACTTCTAACCTCATGTTGGTAGTTCAAACCCACCAGATGCACTGTGAGAACCCTACCCAGGGTCTCTGTGAGTCAGAACTGACTCAACAGCATTGAACGACAACAGCATTATGTGTGAGAAACATAAAGATTGGATCCCTGTAATGGCTAAAAGGAAGAGACATAAATTCTAGGGCTCTTCTTAAATCCTGTATTGGTAGTTGCTGATGATACAAGGGGGCTTCAGAAAACTTAATGGAAAACTGGAATTAAATGAGAATGGAATTTTCCCATGAACTTTGTGAAGTCACCTCATCTATGTGAATGGTAAATGTGTATATATATATATAGATGTGTGATACTCTTTTCTTTCTGAACTGACCCATTAAATTAAGATTTGACCAACTATGGCCCGTGGCCCAAATCTAGCCTGCTGCCTATTTTTATATTACTAGAAAGCTAAGAATGATTTTTTTTTTTTAGTTTTTATTGTGAATTGAGTGATGGTTTACATGGGAGAACATCGGTTTTATGCTCATTGCTTCATTGTGGTGATTACAGTCACCTCCGTGCATCATCATTCAACAGTATTTGCTTCTAGTCTCTGTTTCTTTATTTTTTGGATGTACACAAAAAAACTCTAAAATATAAAATCATTTAAACAACCAAAGGGCACATTATGCAAACCTGCCTCCTGGCTGCCAGCACACAGACTTTCTCTTTCCAAGAGTCCAGAGTCCTCAGCTGCTCTCTCTCTCCATGCCATCACCTCTGCTTCCATCTCTGGTGTCACTGCTTCTCTGGATAGGATCCCACATTCTACTAGTGCTCTTTTCCCTTGATGGTCCTAGGGTCCTCTGTTCCTGGACTGTAAGATTAACTACTCCACACTTTTTGTTACATAACTTCTACTTTTACAGTTGTGACTGTTGCAATTAGTCATGATAACAGTTACACACTATTGAATCATAAGAATCTTATCATTTCTTTTCACAAGACCTGTCTAGACAAAATGAAAACTATTCAGTGGGGATTCTATCTTCCCCTGCATACTCTAAAAGTAAACTCCCTCTTGAAAACTTGTAAGCCAGTTACTTTGTGCCTTTGTAGCCTCCCCATTTTAGATAGCCAATGTCTAAGTAGTTGCCCAACCCTGTCAACCTTATATACGTTGAGGATAGCATTGATACTTGATGTGAAGACTCCTTCCCTCTCAGTTGGTATTTTGAGCTACTACACCCATAAGTATAGGCCAAGTTCATCAAATTGTAGCAATTTACAGTTTTTTCCTTTATCAAAACCTTTTTCTTAAATCTTGCTCTAGTTGAGTTCTGATCATCAAACCATTGAAGCTAGGTCAAATGGGTATTATCTACAAGTTTGGGCATTCTTTTGCGTCTCCCCTTACTTCATATCAGCTGGATGCTTCACTCTCAGCTCTAGCCCTCTGTGGCTATGTCCTTGTCCATGGGCTCAGGAGCCCCCAGGTCTCACCACACTTCGGACCAACCAGCCCTTCCTCTGAAGGATGATTTTTACATTTTTAAATGGTTGGAATGTTAATAGATGAATGATGTCTGGTGACACATGCAAATTATATGGAATGAGTGAAATGTGTTCTTTTTAAAAGCAGTCATGTTCAATCATTCACTTATTTTCTCTGGCTGTTTTTACTCTACAGTGATAGATAGAGTTAAATGATTATGATAGAGACCCTTTGGCCCACAAAGCTTAAAATAGTTGCTATTTACTCTTTTCTAGAAATCATCTACCAACTCCTTCACTGAATTACTCTCAGCAAAGACCACTGTCAGTCAGTGTTTGTTGACAGTCTCGATTCTTTAACCATGGCTGTACTAGTTACCATACCTACCAGTTTGTGTCTGTCTACCTTCCTATATTTGTTTTCCTCAAGCTATCTAGTTCTTTGGCTCCTTGCTCCGTCAGGCAGTTCTACATTCTTTGCAAGAAAGCAACCTAGTTTGAATCTCACACCTACCATTCCATCGCGTTTGTTCTTGCACCACATAATCTCCTGCCTCGTCAGACTTCCAGTGTGTCAGCCATTCCAGTCCTCAGCCTAACTCTACCCCTTCAGTCTACTGTGTCTGTTCTTCCTCACTGCTGAATACTTGGTGGTGGGAAATCACATATGCTTTGTGTTGGCAATTAATCTCATCTAAATCCTGGTATGGTGCTGTAGGATAAGCACTGGACTGCTAAATGCAGGGTTGGCAGTTCAAACCCACCAGCTATTTCTTGGAAACCCTATGTAGGGTCTCTATGACTCAGAACCGACTCAATGGCATTTAGCAACAAACAACAGATTTGTTTATCTTTTGAAGAATTCTGCCAATCCTTATAACATTCTGATTTTATTATTATGTTGTTGTTGTTAAGAGCCGTTGAGTTCATTCTGACCGTTAGCAACCCTATATAGGGTTTCCAAAGAGCAGCTAGTAAGCCTGAACCATCGACCTCGAAGTTCAAATGACTTTGCAGTCTGACGCATTAGCCCACAGTGCCACATGAAGAAGTTTATTATACTTGGCCTCAAATGAGGAATTTCTGCCCTTCCTATTTCTATTAATGGGTTTCCATCCTTACTTTATTATTTACATTTCAAATATCTATGATCTCAGTTATTCATATTCAAATAGTCATTAAGTTCTAAAAATTGTTTCTTCCTATGATTCTATAGGAGTCCTGGTGTGGTGTTATAAAATAAGCATTGGACTGCTAACCTCATGATGAGTGGTTCAAATCCACCAGCCGCTCCTCTGAAAACCCTATACAGGATTGCTATGAGCTGGAACTGACTTGACAGCACTTAACCACAGCATGATCTGCTAAGAGTCCTGGTGTGGCGCTTTAGGATAAGCACTGGAGAGCTAACTGCAAGTTTGGTGGTTCAAAGCCACCATCTGCTTCTTATAAACCCTATATAGGGTTGCTTCAAGTCAGAACCAACTCAGTGGCACTTAACAACAACAAATGGTCCTGCTATCACTGGGTTACGCATTGGACTGCTAACCTCAATGTCAGCAGTTCAAACTCACCAGCTGCTCTATGGGAGAAAGATGAGGCTATCTGTATTTATAAAGATTTACAGCCCTAGGGATCTTAAAACACATGAGTAGCCACTTAAGGTGCAACTATTAGTCTCTCCATGTGCAGAAGAAAGAAGAGATGAAAACTGAAGATGCCTGGAATCAATGAGTCCAGTGGATCAATGGGACATGTGCACATCAGTCTCCATAACTCGGAGACCAGAAGAACTGGATGATGCACCGCCACCACTACCGGCTGCTCTGAAAGAGGTATTAGAATGCCCCTGACAGAGTGGGCGAAAATGTGGGGGGAAAACTTTCAAAATTATAAAAATAAAATAAAAAGACTAGGCTTACTAGAGGAATCCGAGACTATAGCCCTCCGGCATCCTTCAGGTCTGGAACAGCGCTCACCCTCATGGCCCAGTTGTCAGCTAAATTGGAGATAGATCTATGGGGCGGCAGCAGCACTAGTACGGTGTGCTTACATGGACTGGTCAGAAGGGCAGCAGTTACCTAAGGACAAAGCGGAGAAAGATTTGGAAGGAGGACGGAGTGGAAATAGGAACTGCAGGGAGGAAGCGGGGTAACTGTTGCTGCATGGAGCGGGTCGCAGTCATTGAGATGAAATAAAGTGCATAAGCTATTGATTGACCCTAAAACCGATGATCTGCTCTGTAAACCTTCAGTCAATTCACAATAAAAAGTTAAAAAAAAAAAAAAAAGATTTGCAGTCTCACAAACCCTGTGTAGAGTCGCTGTGAGTCAGAGCTG